TACTAGAGCATAAATGACTTGTATTTTTAATAAGGCATAGATTCAGATAAATGCATTTTTATCCTTTTCACTTCTCCCTCATTCACTTAATTGTACATCAAGCTTTATTTCTCATTTGATTATGTTAGTGTAGTTGTTTGTGGAGCTGTACCATGTGTTTGAAATTCTAGGGATTTTGGAAAAAAAAAAAGGCATTGTTGATGTACACTGTTAAAGTTTAAGCTGTTGTTACTGTTAGTTTGCTGCCTTATTAAGCAAATTAAATTCCTAATTAAAAGACTTTTCATTAAAAAATATAGAGAGTGACTCTTTGTTTTTTGTAAACAAAGTAATAGGAGCCATTTCTCCTCAACAGGGGAAATTTTGCAGCACATTATTGCTGGATTGGGAATACTCCAAAGAGAACAGCTGGCAACCTGTTGCGATTGTGGTGAATAAGACCACAAGTGTACAGCCATGTACACATATACAATGGTTTTTACTCCTTGGGTGTTGCTTTTCACAAGCATCATTTCCATCATGATGCCAAATATATCTTACAAGTTGTTTTGTAGTAGCCCTTAAATAAAAAGCAGTCTGTAAAACTGTTGAGATTTTGTAAGATATTATCACCTAATAACTTAGAATGTAATGAGTCAGCACTTTGTTTTTTTTAAACGCCCCACCAGTAACAACAATTTTTTCTGAAAAAAATATAAAAATACCTTCATATGTAATATAAGTTAGGTTACATATTGTACTTAATTTATTTCTTATCAACACATTCCTATGACCTTTTTCCTTGTAAAATACTTGACTCTTCCTCCTCCACCCCCTTTTGTGTTTACAAAGTTCATGATGTGAAGGTGTCTCTGCAGTGAAGGTCTTTAAGATCAAGGAGATGGATTGTCTAAGTGCTGCTGAAGAGTGTAGGTTCTATGTTCTTAGTGAAACTTTGACCTTTATAATTCCCCCCAAGGTGAGTCAATGGGAAAGAGGAGATGGAGACAGCTTGTCAGTCTTTAGCTGAAGCACTGTATAGGTGACATACACCTATATACTAATGTATGCATCCTTATTGTTATATATTGAGGATAATCTTGATTTGTAGACTTACAGAACATATTTTATATGCTTTTTTTCCTCTGGCTACGGGGGTTTATATGAATCCTAAACAAAAGTTTCAACTTTGAAACTAAAAAACCCTCTGGTTCTACCTTGAGATTAGGAATATGAATCAAAAGTCTCTCTTACTAGTTGGGGTTTTTTCTCCCCACTTCCTCATAGTTTAGCTATGTCTGTCTGGCTCATTGTTTTTTGTTTTTGTTTTTTTTTTTTTTTTTTTTTTTTTTTTTTTTTTTTTTTTTTTTTTTTTTTTTTTTTTTTTTTTTTTTT